CGGCGACGTAACGCGCTGCTGTAAGCGTGGAGAGCTTGCGCATGTTCCCCCGCCGCCGCCAAGATTTTCAATGTTCAACACGGCCAAGCTAAGTTTCCTCAGGATGGAATTGCCTGAAACTTTCTGTGCTAGATAGCCAACTGAGTTTGCCACACTGAATGACCAGCTGTATTCTGCAACACGGTCGCAGCGCTTCCTGGGAGGTGAGCACAAGGACCCCGGTGGGTTGTGTGCGGCGGCATCGCGTGGTGGTACGCTCACGGCAATCTTCGAATATCTCGAGGTGGCGCTAACTCTAAGTCAGAACAAAAGTTGTCCAGTAGTCCCAGTGTGATTCAAAGCCCACCTGGTCAGACGTCTGCCTCCCTTGTGGCCTCTTGCTCCCTCTGTCGCCTGCGCTAGGTGGGGTAGGCGGCGGCAGATCTCGCCGCATTTTCTGCAGGTGCGCGAATCTGCGGAACCCCGCGAATTTGCGGGGCCCCGACTATTTTTTGGGCTGTGCGCAGCGCTGGCGCGTAGCAATGGCAGAGAGAGACCTGGGACGGACACGCTGAAACGTTGCTCCACTTCTGCAGTCTCAATAAGGCACCCTGTCGTCGCTTGGATGAGGCCGGCATCGAAACTTCGATAGTATCAACACGGAGAGGACGAAGCGAAATTCAAAATTCATCCGCAAGAAACAGCCAACGGCGGCGTCGTACGCGACGAGAGGAGACATGGAGCATGGCCTCGGGGACTTTGCCTGGGAGAGCGTCGAGGAGCTAGGGGTTGGTCTCGACGCGCAGAAGACCCTCGCAGAGTCTATCAGGGCAAAGGTGTGATCAGGATCGCTGTGTGCCCAGCAAGACATCCAAGCATGAAGTAGACACAAGATACCACACCCCCTGCATGTTTTTCAAAGCTCAATGACTCCACGAAGACGATGCACACATAAACCGATATGCATACGTTCCCGGAAAGCTTTTGATAATACGGCTTTAATGCCGTCGTTTTCGGCGCTGTCACTCTTTCCGCTGTGGAAAAATCGATCTCAACCATCGGTCGGGGGGGGTGTGGTATCTTACGTCACCAGCGGCAGCCTGCAATTGCATCATCGACGGGGTGTGGTCTGATTCAAATCAAAGTTCCGTCTCTATTCTGTATATTCCAGGGATGTTCACGGTGCGGCTTTTCTCGACGGTGTGGTGCGGTGCGGTGCGGTTTAGCCGCACCGTACCGCACGGTGACATTTCGAGAGGAAAAAAAACGCACCGCACCGCACCGTGATATGATAAAACCGCACCGCGGTGCGGTTCCACACCGTGAACATCCCTGACATATTGTACCGCAATAGGGTGCACGGTGTTGCCTTGCCGGCTGCTGCTTGAAATCTCCTGACGATAATGCCCTGGTTATATCTCTATCCGGCTGCTAAATAGTGTGCTGATTCTGCTGTCTGCAAGCGTCGTGCTGAAAGTGACACAGTCGGGCGCCCAGGATCATTGTGTACGACAGCAGTCGACAAACAGTCGTGTGTCGTGTGTTGCTAACGTACGCACAGTCATATGTTGTAGGCGACTCGTGCACGACACAATTATATCACACCACACACCCACATAGGATAATAATATTACCCCCCCAACGCAAGAACACACCCGATGGTAGTCAACTTAATCAATTTATCTCTACTCTCGGGTCAAGTAAATGGGCGACACACGATACCCTCCCCCCCCCTGCCCGAAGACCGTTCTCCCGAAGCCAAAACGGGGTGTGTGTTTGTTGTTCAGTATACGGTAGAGGCCCAACCACCATCTGAACATGCCATCCAGAATTGTTTTAAGTTCAGGGATTACCGCCGCAGATACATACCCATGTCGACCAACCAACCCTCGTCGAACCAATCGATTCAGACGCTGGAGTTCGAAAGTGAGCGGGAGGCCTACATCGACGCCGCCAAGCAGCTGCTCACGCCGCCGCCGCCACCAGCAGCAGAACCACCCGCAGCAGCAGGCACCGGGGGAAGCGCGGAGGAAGAGAGCAACAAGAGCAGCAGCGGCGGCGGCGAGGACGAAGAGGGGCGGGGCGTGCGACGGCTCGCCGACACTCCAGGTGGCAACGCTGATGGGCGTCGGCGGCTGCAGCTGCGCCGGCCGCGGTCGGGCAGAGGGGCGGCGCCGAAGGCGTCGTCCGTGCGAGAGGCTCGCGAGGAGCAACGCCTGGCGAGTGAGGAAATTCGGACCTTGCAGAACCGGAAATCGGATGCCAAGGTTAGGCTACAGGCCGAACGGCTGAGGTACGTGTGGGGCGTGTGCGTGTGTGTGTATCTTTATTATTTGCATCGACCGCGCTAACCGGCTGACCAATCAAAACACGTCAGTCTCAGTGCGGTTGAAAACACAAAACAATTCATAAAATGCCATTTACTGTGTATAAGCCTTGCTGTGTATACGGCGTGTGTGCGTGTGTGTGTTTTTTTGTTGGCGTCGACTGCGCCTAACTGACTAACCAATGAAGATACGCCAGTCTTGTGTGTGTGTGTTTTTTGTTATGTTCGATTTGTTTAATAATCGTCGACTGCGCTTCACTGACTGACCAGTGAAAATACCCCAGTCTTATTGTGTGTGTTTTTCTTTTCTTCTTTTTGATTCGTTTGATTGACGTTGACTGCGCTTAACTGACTGACCAACAACGAAAACGCGTCAGTCTCATGTGTGTGTTTGGGCGCGTAGGGCGTGTGCGTGTTTTTTGAATTGGTATCGACTGCGTTCAACTGGCTGACCAGTGGAAACAACGTTGTATTGTGTGTGTGGTCAAACGCGTGAAGTGGGGCTGTATGTGCGCATCGAACGACCTCAGTGTTCTTGCTGGGCGAAAAGAGTGAAAAAAAGATAACTCTAGTTGTTTTTGCGTCGTACTGGCATCGACAGAGAAAATAAAGGCGCGCCCATCCCTCCATCGGTGCGTCACTCAGCCAGTTGCATGTGTTCGTGCTCTGGATTACAACATATCCCAGCTGCTTCCGCTGGCTTTTCTTCTTGTGTTGGGCGTTTTTTGCAGGGGTTGGTGTGCCGGTAGGTCCTCACAAACGGGCTGAGTAGATTCACCGCCATATCTTGTTTATCCTAGCTATGCAGGAGCTGCTGACGCAACCCTCCCCCTCCCTCATTCCTACGCGTATCCCGCCTATTACTCTACCATCGCTCATCACGCCTTCGGGGCTTCCCGTGATGTCCTCCGGTGCCGCCGTCACCGGTCATGCTCAGCAACCTTGAGCACGGACTGGAGCTAGAGGTTCTGCGGTTGGAGAGGCTTCTCGACCGAGAGAGGTGTGGGCCGTGGGGCGGGAGCGGGGGGATGAGATGTTTACATTCCCTTGAGGGGGAAGCTTGTTTGTTGCTAAGTTTGTTTTGTATCTTTGGAGTAGCCAGTGGAAGGAAGCTATGTTGTGAAAATCGTTCGCGATCCCAGGAGATGCGGGCGCTTGGAGCCGCCCGGGTGCCTCCGGAGGCAAGGAAAGCATACCGTGGCGTAGTTGTTGTTGTTGTTGTTGTTGTCTTCATAATCAAAACCGTTTCGATCTCACTCTACCCAGTACCTTCGAATGCCTGTACTGATCCAACACTCGACGCTGTCGATTCCCGTGGTCGCAGGCTAACTTACCCTAAAAAGGTACACTCGAATAAAATGGCCCCGAGGGGTCCGCAAGTCAATGAAATCAACGACAGATATAAGTAGGTCTTGCCGAAACGAGCAAACGAGTTGTGGGGTCGCTGCACCGGTTGGGTTGAGGATTCTTCGCTTGAGCTCCAACCGAATTCAACCGCCAGGAGAAACACTGTACAGAAGAGACCTGTTTTTCTTAGCCGTGATTCTTTTTTGTAAACGTTAGTTGGGGATGTGTTTGGCGATCCTTACGATTTCTTCAACGGTCCTGTTCTGTGTGCCGAGATATGCATTCAACGCGAGACGTGAGGTGTTGCTGAGGTATCGTTGCTAGGTGCTTGCAACGCTGATCCTCCACGTGATGCCTAGTCTATCGCCAGAGGATGATGTATATCCCCATAGACAACCGTATGCCATCCTGACATGCGCCCCCGCTGCGGAAATCCTGATTCAAGCCTGCGGTCCAGATATTGAAGTACAAGGTTCAACCCCTCTTCCTCCATTCCGCGTACACTCCCGAACGTGAATATGTATCGCTGAATTCCCCCTCCAACAAGACGGGGCCGTGGCGCAATGGTAACGCGTCAGATTCCAGTCCTGAAGATTGGGAGTTCGATTCTCCCCGGCCTCACTTTTTTTTTCGGTTGCCCCGGTAGTCTAGGTGTGTCTTGGACAACTTTTTTTTTGTGGTCAGGGTTAGTTAGGCAGGGGTTCGAATTCCGGCGGGGGCGAGTTTACGTTCCTGGCCTGCGTGGAAAGCGCTAGGTTCGTGTCTATTCAGAGAGAAGAGAGTGCTGCACTCTCCTCGCAAAAAAAATCGAAGACAAAGCACCGCCGGAGGGGTGAGTAAGGGGTCTCAGGGAGGGGAAGGAACCTTCGGTGTGACCACGTGTTGGAATAAACGGCACAAAGTGTGCTTACTGCTTGCTGTGAGTGCTGATTTTGAAGTGAAGACGAAAAGATAGAAAAACAGTACAAATCCCAACCCTCTGAAATATCAGATTCACGCTTCTCAACAAAACAGTACCTAGTATTTCCTGCCTCCGCCGCTCCTAACAAAAACCTCCTCAGACATTTTTTTTTTACCGGAGCACGCGGATCGCGGCACTTCGTTTTCTCGCGTTCAAAATCGGTATCGTCATGTAGCCCTGCCGCTGTCCTGCACGTGAACTCCCGCCCCCCTCCGTCTTCTCGAGGACGCGTGGTCAATGGTCTAACAGTTAAGGCGTGCAGAACATAAGCATACGACCTCCCTCTTCACGTCCTCAGAATCTTGGAACTCCTTCGACTCACCGACCCCGACCGGGCGGAGGCAACGAGAGCCGCAGGAATGGAGGCGTTCTCTGCGGGCGGGGGGGGTATCACATTGCGGGGTGGCACCGCTGATGAAAACGCGTATGGAGGCGGGGGCGAGGGCGGGGACGGGGACGGGGAAGACGACGAGGAGGTCTCAGAGGAGCTGGTCGAACGGCTGGAGGAGCGGGTAGCTGAAGCCGAGGTCGGTGTGTTGCTGTTTACTCTTGTCTACAAACATGAAATGGAATGTGTCTGTGCATGGGTTTGTTGTTGTTGTTGTGCTTTGCCTCATGGGGGGCGGGGATTCGTGGGCTATCTTGGCATGTTTTGGTCTTGGATAGTTTAGGGGGGGGGGG